ATCTAAATCTTTCTATAATAACTAGTCCTTATAAAATTAGATATACCTGTAAAATGCTTCAAAAAATTTGTCTCTAGAAGTATGTAAAACCCCTGATTTACTACTTTTAATGATGCTCCTTCTTTTAGTCAGAATATTTCGAGAGTGGTATCAAAGTAGCTTTTTTTCGACAAATGTTCTGATAGTTGGTATTACTTAATTGGAGCCTTCTAAATTCAATGGCGTCCTCAGTTTTACCCTATTGGCTCCACTTTGCGAGATAGCGGTACTTAAAACTTTTCTAAAATTTTAATTATTTCATAAAAAGGTCCCTGAGTTTTGAAGATATTTTACTAAAATTTCGCACATAACCGTTTTTTAATATTACCTTAACTATTTCATAAAATCATCGAAATCGGTTCACTAAAACATCTAGCCCCCATACAACTGATTGATCAGAGACGTTGTTTTGATTTATAACTCCTCCAATTAAACAGGTTAAAATTTAGTATGTATGTCTTTGACATATAGCACGCATACAATTTATTATTCAGATATGAAAATATACTAGTTATAGCGCAAAAACACATATCTGAGTAATCAGTTGTATTGGAGCTATATGTTAATGTGAACCTATTTCGATAATTTTAAGGAATAATTAAGGTAATATTAAAAAACTGTTATGTGCAAAATTTTAGTAAAATAACTTCAAAACTGAGGGAGTTATTTATAAAAGAGTTAATATTTAATCAAATTTTCAAGTACCGTTATCTCGAAAACCGGAGCTCAACTTTCAAATTCTTTGCTCAAACTTTACAACTTGAACAGCGTAATCTGGGTTGGGCTGGGTTAGCATGTTCTTTTGTTTTCTATTTCATGTTTATTCCTCGTCTAACTTTTGGAGCACTTGATGAAAATGAATTACACTAATATTAATCGATTTATTAAGAGATTATGAATAAAATGATATATAAAACTTAGGTTTGCTCATAAATTTAAAAATTCAATTTTTTTTTTTGAAAGTGTACCTACTTTTTAGATTAGATTTAGATTTAGACATGTATTCGGATTCATAGGCAGTGATGAACAAGTGCCATAGGTAGGTTTTATTCTAAACTAGTGTAATTACTAATTAGATGTATGTAGAGTTGGGCACTTTAGCTCTTTTAAGTGAACCGTTCAGTTGTAGTTCGTTCACCTCAGTGAACTAGCTCTTTAGTTCGTACAGTTCATTTAGTTCAATTGACAAATTTTATTTTAAATAAAGTTCAATTATTTTTATTATCATACTTCTACGTACAAAACAAAAACTTACTTACATATTGCTGTGTAATAACATTAAATTAGAAAGCTTGTTCTATTGTACTGCATTGTGTACTTGCACTTGTGAAACGATGGTCAAAAGAATTTTGTGACCCTTATATCACTAAAACCCTGTTTACAACATTAGTTAGGCCAATTCTGGAATACGGTTCGGTGGTTTGCAATCCAAGGTATCAAATTTACTCAGACAAGATAGAATCAATTCAAAAGCAATTCCTACTTTTTGCTTTAAGAAATTTCCGTTGGGATTCTCAATATAACCTTCCACCTTATACGAACCGATTAAAACTTATTAATCTTCCTACATTTTCCAGCCGCAGGCAAATGCTTGGTACAATTATTACTAACAGGCTCAATTTCAAGTCCGCTTCTTCTTGACGAAGTTAGCCTTAATGTTCCCTCCCGGGTATCAAGACAGTTTTGCCCCCTATTTCTGAAAGCTTGTAAAACTAATTTTGAATTGCACGACCCACTCCGTTGCTTATGCCTGGATTTTAACTCTCATTCCAGCACGTTTGATATATCAGATCTGCTTTTCAGCATTAAGAAATCGATACTGTCCTCCCTCAATAAATGAATCATTAAAATAAAGACATAAAATCGGCTGATGAATTTAGTTCTGTAGCTGAACAGTTTTAGATCTCGACACTTAACAAACTCCTGCCTATCGTGACTCGGCGCAAAAATTGAAAATACTGGTTCCGTACGTCATGCGGACTGCGCCCCTCGTGCGGATAGGCGGGAATGGAGGGTAAAAACCGTTGGTGTGAACTAGTTCTTTAGTTCATTTAGTTTAAGAACTACCCAAGCCTAATTAGATAAATAGTTTTCTGTAATAACTTTTAATTCCTACGGCTTTCATCACTTCCAATGGTATTATTTTTATGAAGTACAATAAATATTATTTAGATGAATAGGCGTGGAGTATGCCCACCGGGGAAATCGCGGCAAAAATATGCGCTAATTTCACAATTTCAGAAGTAGAGTGGAAATTGTGAATATTGTGGAGAATACAACTTTTGAAATGCTATATTTCAAAATAATATCAACTCACAACACAGCACAAAATAAGAGAAAGAACTTTAGCAACGATTGTGACGAAAATTATACGCATTTTTTAACTGCCTTGGAAACTGACTGATTTTTTTTTGTTTATTCGGAACGTTGCAAAACACAAACCAAAAAATAAGAAAAAGAATTTTAGCAACGACTCGCATGAATAAAAAAATCTCCGTCAGGCGCAGTTAAAAATGCGTATAATTTTCGTAACGAAATTTATACTACAAATTTGGGTTTCTAGTTCAGCTTTCATCACTCGAAAATTTTACCTCAAATAGCTGTTTTATTTTATATTATTTCCACTGGGTTAGTGTATTTGTTTTTGTTTCAGTGTGTTGGTGTATTTGGAATAAATTTTGTTAAAAATTGTAATAGAAATGGAAGAAATTGTAAAAGATAACAGCAAATGCCTTTCGATACTAATCTTCAGCGTTAGATGCACGATAATTAGCCCGAAAATTATATATATTCGCTCTCCGAGGAAGGATGATGTCAAAATTCATATATGTACTTAAAACGACATTTCAAACTTTGTACAGAATTAAGAATTTGTTGTTAAACTTTTAAACTTTTTAATCAAAGTTAAAAACAAAAAATACTGGGTATGCCGTAGCTAAAATACATCTTTGATTTTTGAGATTTTTTTTCGCCAAAGGTGTTGCGTATTTCTTTCCATACAACGCAAGACCGAGAAAATGGGGGAGAAACTGCTCAGCACACTCGGCGAAAAAGATTCTCAAAAATCAAAAACATACCTTTTTTAATTATTCTTACGTATAAATGGCCGTCCGCTATACGCAATCAAAGCAAGAGCTTTTACATAAATTGTATAAAAAAGTAATGCCAACCTTTATTCCGTCGACTAGAGTTATTAGTTGTAGCAGCCTCATAAGCGTCCTTGTCTGTAATTTCCTCTTTAATTATTGCTTTGCCGTCAAGAGCCATCTGTAAGAAAAAAAAACGGGAAAAAACAATTATCATAAACCGTAATACATACCGTCACTAGACACGAATAAAGGCGCGCCATTGTTTTGACGGCGAAAAAAGGACGCATTGACGAAAAAGATGCGTGAAAAAAACTTCGGCGAAAAAAGACGTGTAAACCTAGTTTACGACGAAGAAAGACGGGTAAACATAGATTTATACCTATCCAAAAACTGGCACTTCAGCAGTATTCTCCAAAACTCTTTGGGGAATGTACATACAAAAGGGGAGTGCAATAAGGCCCGCGGAAATAACGCCCATGAGCTTTATTTCTCAAAAAAAAAAAGAAATAAAGCCCATGGGCGTTATTTCCATTTCGAAGGGGAAATAGCGCCCACCAGTAAAAGGTATTTCATTTGATTTATTTCATAAAAAAGGAAATAAAGCCCGTGAGTAAAATTTTCTCTGACTTTATTTTACTGAATCATTCCAATTATGTACAAAGGCATACATTCGGAACGTATTTTAAACGAATTGCTCTCTATTTTTGCATACAGTGTAGTTCTGCGTTATTGCCTTCTGAAGTATACGCATAAAATCGGACGGTATTTTTGCCAATAACTGATAAGCGAATTATTGGAAGTTAAAAATAAATTGTTACTGTTTTTTTAGCTTTCAATGCGATGCGCATATTTGTTTTCAGCGTCTTAAGCAGGTTTTGCATTATTCAACTTTGCGTTCAACAATTGCGTTCAACTCAACGCAGGGTTGCACGAAAAAAAAGTTGAATGGCTAAATGTTGGCTGGCGACCAACTTTGTTGAAAGCGATTAGTTGAAAGGCCATTCAACCAAAAGTTGAATGCAAAGTTGAACAATGCAAACACCTTTTTATGGCGAATATTTTGATATTTTTTCATATTTTGATATTTTTAGCCATTCAACTTTTTTTTCGTGCAACCCTGCGCTGAGTTGAACGCAAATGTTGAACGCAAAGTTGAACAATGCAAACACACTTTAAGCCTTTTCAGTGGTGGCGCACAAACTCGGCCGGACCGCCGCAGTTGAGCGCCAACAGGCTCGTTTCCCCCCTCGCCATTACGCCGGAAAATTTATTTGTTTATATACTTGCATTATTTAAATTCTCTATATGAATGTACGATGAGGAGTTGGGGTTGTTTGTGTACCCATGCCGCACTGTGGTGATGTGGATGACGCACGGGTTGTTTTAGCTGCGAAGGCAACTGAAAATAATTTTTTTGAATAAAGGGCGGAATAACATAAATCAGCCATATTCGAATGGTTTGTGCGACATCAAGGCCCAAAACGCACTCCTATCGGAGGAGAAGCTCGGCCAATCAGAGCACACTAAATCTAAATGGTAATACAAGCATTTTGTGTCAAATTTGCCGTCAAATTATTCGACAATCGACGAAAGTATTTATTTAACTTTGTTATTTTTTCATGTTCCTTTTTTTGTTGAAAACTTGAATTATTTAATTTTCATACACATGTACATACATACATACATATGTATTAAATATATGCACTGAAATTTGTTAATTTCAATTTCTTCGTACATATAATAAAGGAAAACAAATATTTAGTTCAATGTGCAATGTTAGAACAGGGGGTTTTTGGATGTACATATTCTAAAATGGAGACAAGAGCCACAATAAGGATGATATGGGCTTTATTTCCTAAAAAAAGACATGAAGCCCGCGGGCGTTATTGGCATATCGAAAGGGAAATAATGCCCACCGGCAAAAGGCAATAAAGCCCGCGGGCTTAATTTTTTTAGAAACTAAAGCCTATGGGCGTTATTTCCGCGGGCCTTATTGCACTCCACCAAATACAATTACACCCGCAAACATAGTTGACCGCGAAAATAAGTTTACGTGTGTTTCTTCGCCGTCCACTAGGTTTTGACGGACTGAAAAGTCAACTTTGAGTTGTTGTACGCGGCAACTGGTAATAGTTTGGAACCCCAATGTTCATACACGAGATTTGCTACTTTGTTATGACTCTGCTGGTATATATTTTTTATCTTAAATACCAACTTTCGAAAAATGAGTTTTGAGCATCGCCCTCTATGAAGAAGCCCCAGTGTGCGTTGTACAAAAAATTTAAATTTCAACAACTCTCGTAGAAATTTACGAGGTGTATAACTGAATCTGAGCCGAAAATCAAATGGAAATTCTAACGCCGGTAAATTTACGACCCACTTAAGATAGCCTTACCCATATGTATGTCTTGGAATTTATAAATGGCCCTTAAATAAAAACCGAATTTTTGTCTGGCCTATAATTATTACCTTATTTAGTTATAGAACTATGTCATATTAAAATTTGAGCAATTCTAGAATAATTCGATTTTTTTATTATCATTCATGGCATGATGTTGGCAATTGCCAGGCAATTAGAACAGTGATGGCAAAATGTTAATCTGATTAACGATTAAAAATTAAAGATTAAAATGTTAATCGCGATTAACGATTAAAATTAATTAATCGTATTCATCTGTACGACTAATGATACAATTTTTAGACCGTTAGTCGTCAGTTGTCATTACGATTAATTACTTTGAATCATTGAAATAAAAAAAAATCTGATGAAGTGGTCTAGTTTGTCCATATTTGAAACAAAACACGAGTTCTAGTTATTGTTTTGTGCTTCATGCTTATAAAAAATACATAACATATAAAAAAGTAATAATTATTATTATAAGTATTTAATACGTAAATTGGGAATTTGTTACAATCCATCGCACATGTGTAGAGGGATATTAAAACCTAGTTTCCATAACGTCTGTTGGTAATAGATCCTTCGCTGAAGTATTTTGTGCGTCTTTTTCCGCGGTCAACTTTTGAGCTCAGCCTTTATTCGTGTCTAGTGAGGATACATATTGCAAAACAAAACATTTAGTTAAAATTTATTGAAAGTTAATATTTGGGCAATTCCATTGTGACCCATGGGACTTGTGACTACAGAATGTGAACAATTGTGATTTGTAACTACATACATATACATATATGTCGTCGGAACTTACACAGTGAAAGTTCTTTTAACATACATATGCACATTAGACCACGTCAAACACATGCCATGCGACTAGAGTTTTTTGCATTTGGTATAGTAATGATCCTCCATGAATATAGGGGACATTCTAAGAGGTCCAGCGTCAAGCCTTTAGTTTTCCCATAGGAAAAAATGTGTTCTTTCCTTTTTAGGTCAATATAATTTTCTGGGATCAATGTAAACACTAGAAACTGTAAGAAGAAGAATCAGTGTATTACATGCCATTAAAGTATTATGCGTGCTCAGATTCCTTAAATTCCAAAAAAAATAGGATTTGACCCAAATAGGACAAGGGATTAAAAAAGGATAATTTAGGAATTTAAATAGTCGGGTGTTTTCATTGATCCCAGAAAATTATATTGACCTAAAAAGGAAGTAACTCATTTTCTAACGTGTAATTCCTATGGGAAAACTAAAGGCTCGACGCGGGACCTCTTAGAATTGTCCTAGAGAGGGATTCATGAAGGATTATTATATTACCAAATGCTAAAATTTGAGTCTTATTCCGGTCGCATTGCGGGTTTTTTGTTTGACGTGATCTTCACGAAATCTTTAGGAGAACTTTGGTTTGCAGGGCACCTACTCGGCTACGGCAGTCAAAAACTTGTTTGCGTTTAAATTCATATTTTTCATCTGTGATAATGAAATCGGTTACACTCATGTGGAAATCAGTAACCCTCATCTGGAAATCGTAGAGCTTTTTATTTTATAAATATTGACAGAATGCGATGGGACCTTTTATATGATAAAAATCTTGATACACTGGGCGATAAAACTGTTATATCCCAGCAAAAAACACGATTACCACAGGAACGAAAGTAGAAACGAGCTAGGCGATGGGAATCGCTTACCCTTTCGCTTCAAGAAGGCCTTATTTTAACATGGGCATGTCATTGGAGGTAAGCCCTTACCCGCAGCATTACCTTCAAACGAAGGGAGAACGCATGGATAAACAGAATCCAGAGAAGCGAACAAAGAATGCCTTACAGAGAAACTAATGTAGAATGCCTAGATAAGTACATACTTATTTATATTAAATTTAAATCAGAAAATGTCTTAAAAGATTAAAATTAATTAAAATTTTTATAAATCATCTTTTATACAAACATATGTATGTATGTATTTAGGTATTTAGATTTTCTTAAAAATCGGTATGTACATACATTCATTATTAATTAAGCTTAAAATTGTACTTCCTCACTCTTGTACTTCACTTCATCGACTGACTTCAACTTCGCTGCAAATTGAACAAAGCAAAACATGATTTTTATGCGAGACAAATTTCCACAGAAAGTATCGGTAGAAAAAGAACTTTTGGATATTCATTCTATTTTTCAGCTGACTACGATGCAGCATTCTACTTTGCATTCCCGGAAATGAAGCAAAGAAACGAAACAAATAAAATATTGTAGGACATTCTACTTTGCATTCCCTGAAATGAAGCAAAGAAGCGAAACAAATAAAATGTTGGAGGACATTCTACTTTGCATTCCCTGAAATGCAGTAAAGAAGCGAAACAAATAAAATATTGTAGGACATTCTACTTTGCAATACTAGCAATGCATAAAAGAAGCGAAAAAGTTCGAAGGCATTATAACGTTATGCCTTCTAGAACACGTTACCACTAAAAGCGATTACCCATTTTTTTGCTGGGATATAATTATGATGCATAGATCATATTCGCGCTTTTTAGGCTAAACTGAAAGTTATTGGTAAATATATTGAGGAATATTCATAGTCGAAATAAAGTCGATTCCAAATTAAGTAGCAGCTTTTTTGGCAAATATTACATTGATAACTATGTCAAAAAGCTGTAACAAACTTAAGTTTCGGTTTTATTTTGACTATGAATATGTCCCATTGTTTCCAAAAATTGCAAATGTTTGCCAAACTTAACAAATTTAAAATCAGATTTGAAGAAGAAGCCAATGAAGAGTAGAGTCTAT